TTTGGTCACTCTGCCATTGTGACTCTTTGCTAGCATTGTGCTGTTTTTTCATTAATATATTTAACATTCAGGGCCTTTAGCTTACTTCATTTATCGGCCGTTATTGTTTTAGGGAATGACTACACCACAGCAGATGAGATACACAGCCATGTAAACTTAGTTACCGGATACATAAGTACCAGCTAGCGAGTTGCCATACCCTTACCAACTGCGCGACCAGGCGCGAAGTAAATTTACTTAGTCCATCCGATAACCCTTCAGTTCTTCCCATTGTTTTAAATATGGCTCTACACAGAGTTTTGCCGCTCTAATGTCTGGCCCTAAAAGTGTGTTTGGAGAGCATCGCCGAGATTCAAAGACGTGTACGAGCCCCTCGTTCATCCCTCGCATTGTCTGAAGATTTTCTGCGCCAAGAATATAAAGTTATCGACAATTCTTCAAAGAAAATGTGGGATATATCAGCTCTCTTGGACAAATTTGTTGGGTCGGAAGCTGGCTGTTAGTAAAGGATGAGTGAAGGGTTCACTCAATCACCAGTTTCCGAATCCCTGACCAAAGCTAATAGATCACGTGGTCTTAGCAATAGGACGATGGGGCTGTATGCATGAGGGCTGACTTTGGTGAGACATAATGCTCTAAAAATACTTCCTGCCAAATATGGGTAATGTGACGGTTCAAGTTATCTAGTAGTGAGATTGACACTTGTTGAGAGTGGACAGGCGTTCCCAATTGTTGTGGTAGGGGTCGGGGCGCGTTCCAAAAGTGGAGTGTCCTACGATAAATGCTTCCGGCTCGGATGCATAATTCACCTCATTAGTTACTTACACGGCTTCGACAAGAGGAGGCTTCAGACGAAATTAGTAAAGACAGATTATTCGTGAACAGTTAAGGCTACGTCCCCACCCGGTATTGGGCAAACGCAGGTGGATAAAACTGCCAGCGATAGAAAGGCCACACGGACCCGACAGGCCTCAAAGGTCATCACTCAAATCGATTTCCGCGCGTGGACGGAACGAAATCACGCCGTAGGAATCTCACGAACGGAGCTACGTGGGCGGCCCCGAGCTTTAGAAAATGAAGTTGAGGAAGTTTGCATCAGACCACGGACCTCTGACGCAGGTTTGGTATCATCGAATCAAACGAAAAGGTTACGCTCGATTAGGCCGCAAGATGTGGACGAGCAGATGCCGTCGGATATAAATGAGGTGGTCCAGCAAGTCTTACCTCCTGCACCAATCACTGGGCAAATGGTCGGCTCAGGAATTAATTCAAGTGCTACTCCAGCTGGCAGGGATGTCATCATCACTTTCCGAGCTTACTAGCGCGGGGAGTGGAGAAAGTTAGACACTATATCGGTTAATACCTCGAACCCACACGAAGCGCAAAAAGTCGCCGATCGGTATGCGCGAGCGGAGGGTAAGAATGCACGTTATTACGATCGTACCCTGCGAAAGGTCAGCGTTAACTAGTGTGTTCGTGCGGCGATCGATGATAGAACATATACTGTCCTTATGAGTCTTGGGAGGGAACTCCATGTGACCCGGCAGCGGATAGCTGCAGTCGCAAGGTTATTCGATGAGGGGTTGCAAAAATCGAGAGTATCAACGGACGAGGAGTTATGATAGGCTGCTTGCTATAGAGTAAAGTCTACCATGGCTGAGAAGGTCGGTAGTCCAGTAATGTCTTCCACGCGTAGTTCAACGACTAAAGATGTCTTATACTAGCAGTGAACGCGGGTCGGCGGCTGTGAGGCCAAGCAGGTACTGAGACCATGGCCGCAGGACCTGGACGGTTTGAGGCTCGGTGGCTAGGGTCCTGGGCCTTAGGCCACTGGGCTTCTGCCTATAAATCTAGCACCCGGGCCACAGGTATAGGTGCCTCGGACATTGGCCCTACACCATGGCGCCTCCGACCCAGTCAGTGCTGAAACAGAGGACTGGTAGCCGCCTGCGTCCCCCGACCGTGGATTTGTGCCCTTTGTGGATCGGAAGCTCTAGTGGCCATGAAACATACCGCATACGACCGGTCATGCCTCCGAACTAGGTTGCAAAATCCCGGGTAGAGGAAGTACTGTCCGCTCTACCCTGAACGCGTAATGCAAGTAAAGTACCCATGATCTAAGCGGCCGGTTTCCCTTCCACTTATCGTATACTTCTAATGCAGTTCCATAACGTGCAAGCGGTGCATTCGATTTTACCACAAAATAAAAACATCGCTAAAACAGATCTGGTTTAGACCACACTAAATTTGACACCCCCTAATTCAAGGATAACAGCTAATGCGCACCGCAATGAAATACGAGAAACTAGGCAAAAACCCCAATATTGAATAAACAAAACAAACATAAAAACTAATACAAGGTTATGTTGACAAAATAAGTCTATCATGCTAAGTCAGGGCCCAGAAGCTATTTTGTCCAACTAAGCTTAATGTCACCGTACAACCTAAACCTCTCGAAACATATTATCAACAAACAAACGAATATGTTCCCTCAGCCATGCCCAGTGGGACACTGGCTGACTCCCTATTTGACTAACACCGATTCCAAAAGTACCTGCTTGCCGCTGGAGTCGACGATATTTTGCAATGCTGCCCAAAAACGCTGTCATGGTAGACCTGACTTCGTCTGCGGCCGAATGTAAATTTGTCTCACATTCTTGGCGACGCCGGTTTCTCCATTCTTCACAGGGTCGATAAACCATCTCAAGGATGTCGCGGAGGATTCGGTCATAATCTGAGCGGGTTCTCGGGTGTTGTGCGTATTCTATGACCATTGGGTGGAATCCTTGTACAACACGGATACAGTGTCCATCCACAGACATGGATGCTACTTCCCGATGGCGTGCACCGTTAACTGAAGAGCATAGTTCTGAAGCAAGGGGATGGGTGACAATGCCCCACCGAGGGTGCGATCCCTTGGTTTCACACTGACAGGAAATGATCACTGGCGGTTTGAAGCGGCGAAGGAAGTCGATCGTAAGATTGAACAATTCGTCCGTTACGTGTTGTTTTTCTTGGGCTCTGTTGATTCTGACTCTGATCTGTATTTCGAAAACCAATCATGCAGCTCATAAATACTTGATTCTCATTCATACAAATGGAGGCATTTGTAGATAGGCGCGGGATATGTACCGTCGAAGCAAGCCCTCTGGGCCGTGGGAGGCTACGACAGGAACTTGGGATACCGAAGATTGTCCTGTCGTAGTTTCCGCGTCCAAAGGAAGACCGCTCGCAAAATTTGGATAATTTGCCGGGAGTATTCCGTCACCTTTACAGCCCTTGTTCCTTACTGTATAGTCAGGCCAGCCCCAGAGCTGCAACTGCACTACATTGATCGAAAGCTGCCGGGTATAGTGACAAAACTGGTGGCATTTTTCCCTTTCTCTGCAAGCCAGAATGGCCCGGGTGCACCGGGATCATCCTGAAGGTTACGAATCACATCTTCGATCAATATAACAAGCATCCGTAGATTCTGTTGCAGGTCGGGGAATGGCTGTGTTATACTCATATTACCCAGATCCTTTGCTTGGCTCTGTATCATGTCACATCTTCTACACGCCCAAATCAGTAACTTCGCATGCCTAAGAGTGGATGAATCCATGATCAACGACCACCTGTCCTTAAGGCTGGCAAGTATATTCCCCGCGCCATTGAATATCTCACATATGATCCAATGGTTCTGAAGATGGATGGAGGCAATAATCATGCTTGTTCTCTTCAAGGGCGCGAGAAGGTCGTCGAGTACAAGCGCTGTATAGGTCCCATATCCTAAGGTTTTCTGCATGGTCTCTTCGTGGTATTCTCCCATGCTCCTGCCTTGGAAATAAGCGTGGAGGAAACTGGGTGCGCAATATAATGTCGGTACCGGTATAATGCTAAGAGTGGCATTTGCAAGATGGACTGACGCCGAGGAGAAGCTGCAATTGGTGTCTTGAATAATTATCCGTATCAGCCAGCCTCGGATTGTCGCTGTCATAACTTCTGGCACAGGGGTTTCCACTCTAGAGATTGCGTGATGTACGGCGAGTCGGGTTTCGAAGTTATCATGAATAGGTAGGCTGTAGGGCTGCTCCGGATGCAAAAGGAAGAGGCGGATAGTAATCCCGACTAATAGCCCGGTTTGGTCTTTACCCATCAGTAGATCCTTTACCTCCATATCTAGAGGAAGATATGGCTGGTGTATTGAATCCATGGACAGGCAATCTGAAAGGAAATTCTTCCATTTTGGACGAAGGCGAAGCTGTTCCAGAAAACCACTTTTCCATGTCAGCACCCGGCAAAGTTCAAAATAGATGAGTTTAGAGCAAATCTTACCTCGTGGTCAACTCCATTTAGTATTTCAAAAGGTCACTTGAGTGGTAAATATTTCCGAGATTTAACCGCTTGTTATTTTGCAGGGGCAAAGTAATATAGTCAGTAAGAGAGACGAACCAGTGGAATATTGCGAGTAATGCAGAATTCGTTTCTCTTGGTGCTCCTCGTCGCGTCCTATATATAATTTATCCTATGCCTGAAGCTAGTGAGAACCCCTGTCTTTCCTACTAACATGTTTCAGGTCTAGCTGACGGGGATATATACGAGAGTTAGGAATTGGTGGACCTTGATCTTTGTGAAAATATCTCGACCACGGGCACCTCAAGTAAATTTGAGGCCAAACTGATTGCTAGCCTAGTATCGTAAATCAAATTTCGTAACTTGCCATGCAATGACCGTTCGCAAAAGTATCGCGAATTCCTCGGCTTATTTCTCTGCAAGTCAACGCAAAGCTGACTTTCCAGTATTAGGCGTACATAATTACGGTCAAAGCTGTCGATACCGCGGCCTGAGACACCATTGCTAGTGGCAAGTTGTCACCCAGAGTACTAGAGGTCAGTAGAATTTACTCGTAAGTGGATTGATGATAGGAAGGAACGTATAAATATTTCGGCCATCCGAGGACCTCCTCTGGATTAGGGACGCGAAAATAATGGGAAGCAGGCTAAGAATAGTAACAATTCAAGCTATTTAGGTGCGAGCAACTGGATGATAAAAACCCGACCATTTCGATATCCGAGAGCAAGCACATCCTCGTTCGTAGCGAAGCAGGAAAATTGGCGATATTCAGAAGGGAGCCACAAGACCTTCTCGCCTCCAAAGCGTACCCAGTGATCCGCTAGGGATATGTGAGGCGTAGCCCGAAGATCTGAAGTCGGATTCACATGAATGCCGTCCCTGGCATAGAGGGCCACGGCGTGAACCAAAATGGAACTATCTTCTTTCGTCTGCCGCTGCTCGCCTGTCTCAGCATTCCAGAGCTTGATAGTGCCATCGTAGGAGCCTGAGGCGATAGTTCGACCATCTGGCGAGAAGGCTACGGCCCGAACCGAATCTGAGTGACCTTCTAGAGTCTGTCGCTGCTCACCCGTCGCCGCATTCCAGAGCTTAATGGTCTTATCGTTAGAGCCTGAGGCAATAGTTTGGCCATCTGGCGAGAAGGCCACGGCCTGAACTGCACTTGAATGGCCTTTTAGAGTCTG